TATTATTATATATATGATAAATGTAGATATTTATTTACTCAGTGTTTTGGTTGATAAATAATTTGTGTTTAGGTACTACAAGAAATAATTTTGAAGGGAAAAAAGTTATTCACTTGGAATACGAAGCATATACTTCAATGGCAGAGACCGAAATAAAGAAAATCTGCAGAGATGCTAGACAAAAATGGCCATCAGTCAAACATATTGCAGTACACCATAGACTTGGGTATGTATAGCCAGATCCCATCCTTCTGCAAGTGGAGTATCAATCATTGGCTGGGGCATGGCTGTGCTTGCATTCTTGCAGGATGTGCAGGAGGCTTTCTAAACTATGGCAGCAAAGCTGGCTGTATGATCAAGCTCTCACTGCAGAGCTACATTTCAGAAATCATATTTTTCAAAACTTGTGTATTGTACTGTTTGCTGGAGTCTCTCTTTAGCCTGCAGGATCCTTGATGCTGGTGTGATGGTTTGAAAGTGGGGAGAAGGGACTGAGATTTCATTCCAGGGAAAGGGAGGTCATTGGTTTGTTTTGCTTTTTAAAGACATGAAGTTGGCATCACTTTTCTTTTTTTCTTCTCTCTTCCATTGAGGTGCCACAGGATGTTCTTATTGTCAGATTTAAGTCATGCCACAGGGAACGTAAGAGCTTAGACTATCGGGAGGGAAGAGGCATGATAATTGCCAACCATGCTTGCAGGAGAACCTCCTGTTGTTCCTCGAATATCGGATAAGCATTTTTTGTGGGGTTCAGAATATGGAATACTGGTGTCTGACATACTCTTGAGTCTTCACTGTTTATCAGATTTCTCACTGAAGTTACCAGGATTTGCAGTGTTGCAAATGCTTGTTTCCTTTTCTCTCAGCAGAAGGAACTTAGGAGGTGATCACAAAGGGTAGTACTAGCTCTGAGGGGTGATTTCCTTAGATTCCCTCTATAGTCAACACAGAGTGATTCTCTTGGGGGAAGCTCAAAGCATTTAAACTTAGATTTTTCCTATGAACTGCTTGCCAGAGGAGTTTACTATAGAGGGAGGATTGGAAGGCAGCTTTTAGGAATACGACCGTTGTGAAGAGCAAAACAAAATATTGTGGCACTTCTGTTAAGTTTGGAAAACAACACAATAAGAAATTGTCAAAAATGAAGTTTCATTGCAAAATCTGTATAGTTTGAGGCACTTAATTTTCTTCTTTCAGAAATTCTTATGCAAACTGAGATAATGTCTTGAGTTTTCAGATATGAACTGTTCCTAACTTGCTACTGTTCATTATTAAGCCAGCATCTATTGAGTTTCCTATGGATTGTTGCAAGTTAGCAGTTTTTCCCTCCTAATTCCATAGACTTTCTTTTAAAAAAAAAAAAAAGAAAGAATGGAAGAAAAAGCCTATGTCTGGTGGGTTTATTTATTCTAAAGCATAGAATTCTCACATCTGGTACTGGTTTTGGTTTTGGTTTTATTTCTTTTAAACAGTGAATAATCTTCTGGACATGGCTTGACACTTGCTTAGTATGAATGAGTCAGGAGAGCGTGTGGCCAGAACACTGATGTGACATGGCTACAACTTTTGGGTACACCTGATGTTAAGCATTAGCTAAAGCTGCTGTTTTTCCTCTTCTCTCCCTAGTGTGGTTCCAATAACCGAAGCAAGTGTAATTATTGCAGTCTCCTCTCCACACAGAGCAGAATCACTTGAAGCTGTAACGTACTGCATCAATACCTTAAAAGCATCTGTCCCGATCTGGAAAAAGGTATGTCTGGAGAGAAATCTTATTTTAGGCCTGTGCCAGGGTCTTAGGCAGCTGGGCTAAAGGCTGCTGCTGCTCTTAAGGGAAGGAGCTGAAGTGTTACAGGCAGCAGTTGCTCCTTGTAGGATGCCAATGTCTAGCACCAGTGAGTTTCCTTTCATGCAGCCAGGCCTGCCTGCGGCACGTAGGGGACCTTGAAGGCCCGCCCTTGCCTGTACCATCCAGTTCTGCTTCCTTTTAATGCCATCCTGGGGTCAAAGTGAAGGACCCCTGAGCTCTCCTCTTTTGAGTGGCAAAACTCAGTCCTGCACAGGCTTGTGGAAGAACTTTGAGTCAGTTTTACTTTGGACAGCATTGTCGTTTGCAAGTAAAAGAGGCATTTCTTGTTCTTCTGTTTTCCCCTCATCTCCATGGCCTTGAGAAAACAAAGCATTAAGCAACAGCACACAACGAAAGGGTGAGCAGAGGTCCCAAAGCTAGTATGGGCACACGACAATGTGTGGAGAGGTCAGCTCAGGTCTAGAAAGAGCCTCATTGCATAGCCACGGTGTTGCATGCAAGTAATGAGTGTTATCTCTGCTTTCTATCCCAGGCAGAACTTGGCATGTGATGTTCTCCACCTTACTCTTTTCTGACACCTCTTTGAGGCTGGGATTCTGTGGTCTCAGAATAATTGGGGGCTCAGAGACCTGATGAATTTCTTGCTTAGGACTGGACTACTGCTGGATAGTCCAGTCTGTCCTGAAGATGTAATATTTACTGTATTTTTTCTATTGCTGTAATTTTTATTTTTTTTATGTTCTGTTTACACTTAAATGCTAAAAATGGTGGCACAGTAGGTTAACATGGCACCATGTAAAAAACAGCAGTGTTTCAGAGAGAAGTGCTGTGTACTGGACAGCTTTTACATTGTTTCTTCTGGATCTCTTTCTTGAATTGACTTCAGCATAGATGGGCTCTTCATAGAGGGACTCAGATGGAGGTTCAGCGTCTGCCCACATGCAAGTCAGTATGTTCTAAGGATGCTGCCCTCTTTCCTGTTTGCCAGCAAAGTGCTGTGTAGTCCTGTTGTGATCAGTAAATAGCAGGATGGCTGTTGAGTTGCTTGGCCTGACTTGTGACTGTATGTAGCAGGCTCCCACAATATTTCCTGTTCTTTGTTTATATTTGCAGGAGATTTATGAGGATGAATATTCTTGGAAAGAAAACAAGGAATGCTTTTGGGCAAATTCAGAAAAGTAACGGTACTCTTTTAAAAATAAAGTGTTACTGTTCCTAATGAGCACACTGGTTTAGCTTGGAGTTTTTACAAAGATCTTTATGATTTTAAGCAGTTGCAATAGACATTTCAATCTGAATAATTTAATTAGGACTGAATGAAATGGAATAAATGAGTAATAAATAGAGATTTTAAGTGTTCTTGACTCTCCTTTGAAATAATCTCATTGTACATTTTAACATGGAGTCAGTTTTTAAAAACAATCTTCCCTAAAATTCTTGGTTGCAAGTTGCTTAGTTCTCTGTGACATATTCTGATTTAATGCCTTTACACTGGTAATCTGTGTTCGTGGTCTGCATTGGAGGTCACATTAGGACAATTGGATTTGTTTTAATCTTAAAAAAAGTCCTGAGTAATTTAATTGTATATCACTGTAGAATCAGTTTTCAAGCTTTATGCTATTTTGAGATTCTTGTAACATGAAAGCTACTTGAAGTAGATTAAACATTTTGGTACAGAGAAGAAAATACGAACTATACCCCAGAGTTATTAACTTTTTAGTAGTGGTTACATTCCAGTAGCTCTGTCTCACAGAAACATTTTTACTGTCCATTATGTTAAAAAAATATGGACAGACCTTGATTCAAAGTTAGGTCTAGCACTTTACCAGCAACAAACTTGCATTAGCAATAACATGCAAACTACTTAATTATTTCTAGACATGATTAATTTTGAAGGAACTTTTTTGGCTGTGTAATTGTATAGTGCTGCAGAAAAAAAAAGAGCTAGCTATTATTACAAAAAAGACAACAGTAAGTTTAATTAGTTTTAGTAGTTTGACTTTAGACGTGTTAGGATTTGAAGTCATCAAAATGGGTTAGTTTTTCAAAGGAAAGTGAGTTGAACTTTTTATGGTTTATATATGCATTTATATTCACATTCATGATTTTAATACAGTTTTATTACTGTTTTGAAACCTAGTTAGAAGACTGACATAGTGTACCTATGCTTCCACTGGAAACTGGGCTGCTCATCTGAGCAAGATAATTTTATTTATATTGTACTGCACCATGATAGCATTTAGATGCTAGGAGTGCAAAATCCTGTTGTGTATGGCATTTTTACTAATGCTGAGAGGCATTTTTATCTAGTCATCATTATCAATGTAGGAAAGATAGATATAAAGGAAACAAAATGAGCTAAAGTAAAATGATTTGCTCAAGTATCATTACATCACACAACATTTTAGCCTCAGCTGTATAATGCATTTCACTGTGTCTGCAGTAAAAATCTGCAAACAGCTGTTAGCTGCACAAAATAAAATGAGAGAAACAAGTGCACTTTTTCCCTCAAGTGATCTCAATCAGTTTTAATACTTCATGGTGGTTACTGTGTCTGGATTAAGTAAATCCCAATGAAACACTCAGCTTCAGGGAGAAGCATGGTTAAGTTGTGCTAGTTAACTTACTGATGCACTTTCATCAATGGAAGTGAGTGACTCCTTCCTCTGCAGGACAGCAGCTGCTCCTTACATGCTTACACGGATGCACCTTCCAAACCATGTGGGCCCTATTATCTAGGCAGAACTGAGCAAGTTCAAGTTTGAATTTTCCTTTGCCTTGGAGGCTGGAGAGAAGCCCTCTGCTATTTGAGTGTCATTTTTACCGGGAATTGTACAGAATCCCAAGTACATATCACTTCCTCCATCAAATGGTTCTTATTTGGTTTTAGAAAAAAGTACACAGACTTACCCATTTTTGGTGCTCATTTTTCCATGTTAATATTTGCTGTTACCAGGCAACTAATAAGTGTATTAATTTAACAGAAATAAATGGCTAGTTTGCCTTCCAGTGGATAGTTTATGAATGAAGTAAAACCTATGCAGTGCTTGCACACTGTTCCTGTGCTCTGATACAGAAAAACAGTGGTATTTAGAACAGTTAAATTGTACTTGGGGCCCTATGATCTGGGGCAGTTCCTGTGTTGCACTAGTGCCTCTCTAGTGCTGCAGTCTCCTGGAGGATTTCTCCAGGGTGACCTTAAGTGCACCTTCCCCATCAGCAGTGCAGCTGGGAAGGAGGGTGCAGAAAAGAAGAGAAAGAATAATTGTGTACTTCCCCACAGTGACCAGGAACAATGAATGGAAGTTGTACTGAGTCACAGCTGAGTGTTACAATGTGTGTATGCTGCCATGGTCAAAACAATGAAATGTCATTTTGTGTCCCTAGCTGTGAATGAGGCAAGTAGTGCTTTGTTCTGGAACAATGAGGTATCAGTCTTGTGTAACTTTGGGTTCTTCAGCTGGCATCTAAAAGCGAAATGGAAATGTCCCTAGGAGGGATGATGTGCATAATTAGAGGTAAAATGTATCTCACTGAAATTTAAGTCCATACTTGGAGCTCGGTGTTCCAGCTCCCTCTGTAGGGCTACCCTCTTCTGCTAGGGAGATTTTATCTTAAGAGGCCTAATTACTCTGTTCTAAGATACATGCCTAAGGCTATGTCTGGAGTGACTCAGAAGTGCTTCCAAATTTCCAGTCCAGGGGACAAATCCCAGCTGTATAGGACTGCGTGTCAGAGAAAGATGTGGCTGCACATGTCCTGGTTTCCACACATGCAGGACTAGGCTGCTGGGTGAGGGATACCTTGTGTTCTGGTAAGGTCCCTAAGTGGGATGAGAGGCAGCTGCAGATCAGTATACAACACAGTCCTAGCTTTTTGGGATGTGTGTCTTGCCTTGGCTAGAGGGGAGGGTAGTCACACCCCTCTTTGGCTCTTCCAACCGTGTCCCAGCATGCTGCAGAGGTGGCTCCAGGTGCAGGTAGATGTTCCCGGGAACAACTGGTGCAGACCAGAGTGCCATCATGTGAATCCTGTAGAGATCTGCCACATGAGGGGTATTTGTGAAGGGGCAAGAATTTGTCCTGAAAAAAATGTCTTGGTCGTGGCTGGCAGCATTTGAATACACAGATCCCTTTGTCTGGCAGAACGTCCATATGCCAGCATTGTTTACTTTCAAGCATTTCCTTTCCTGATTCTGATCTTTCAACTCTGCTCTGTTCTCCCAAGCAGCACAGCCTGATGCGTGCTATGAAAACAGTAACTGATGGATTGTCATGAAACAAGCGGTGGGGGAACGACGGTGTTGTAAGGAGCCTACCCAGGAGATGGCAGCCGAGAGACGGCTGTGCTGGCGGGGGGGCTCGCCAGCTCCCTCCA